TAGAGGATCACGGGTGATTCAAAGGCAGCTGCCTCACTGAAAAGCCCACCCACCCCAGCATGGGTGGCGACTCAGAAAGCTTCATTCCTGTGGCCCCCAGTACAACATGCAGACAGCTCCGTCACACTTCCTCCCCCCTTCCCCTCCAGTGGTTATTTACTGCTGTTCAAACCTCAGGATGGGGCCTTGTGAGTCATGTCACTTTCTGAGTCTGAAGTTTGTATGCCTTGTAAGTTTCATTTGGCTTCCTGACTCTTCTGAGCCTCCCTCCTCCCTGCAGGAGGGAGTGTCTGAACTGGGAGAAGAGAACAGAGAGAGAGGGCACCCCAGGCACCTCAGAAAATACACTGAGCCCAGTTCGGTCTCTTGTGTTGGTCAGTTTAGGAAAGATAAGATATGGTGAGCACTGGGTTAGGAGTCATCCATCCCAGAACTGTTTCATGGAGGTGGCAGGCAAGTCCCTTAGTCTCCTGGGGCTCAGCCTCCCACCTCTGAAATGGAAAGGGCGATGCTCACCACGCAGGGGTGGGGTGAGGAGTGGGACGATTCACGGGAGGGAGTCCTCGCAGCTGCGAAGGCCGTGAATGTAGGATAGGTAGTATTTCAGCCTCTTCATTTTTCACAGCATTAGAGACAGCGCTGTCATAGTTGAAAGCCCTTAGGATGAGAAATAATTGAACAGAGAATGGAAATTGCGTGTATGGAAATTAGCACAGTTAGCAATAAATGATGGCTTGGCCATAGCCAGTGTGTCTGGGGGCACATAGCGTCCATCCTTACTGAGTGAGACCAGGACACCTAGGGAAGTACCCAGTGGGGAAGACGCTATTTTGATGGAATGGTCCTGGGGTGCCAGCCTGCCTAGGCAGGACCAGTCTGGCGGCACCATGGATTGCTTCCTGCAGCCAGGGCTGTTCTCTGAAGACATGGATCTGGGGGTTTCAGGTAACTCTAGATGTCCTGTCTCTTTATGGGCTGGAGTTTGGGGGATAAGAAGTATTTAAGTAGAAAGGCCATGGGGGTTTGTGCATTCTTTTCTCTCAAGCTAGAGACGACAGTGCTACAGTCTGGGGATCCGTGTCCTCTCTGCTGCGTTGAGTAAACAAGCTGTGTGCCTAGGGTCACCTGTTAGGGGACACTGGCTCTCCCCTTCCGGACTGAGCCCTCACTCAGCCTGGTGTTTAGACCTTCCACTAAGATTCTCTGCTCCCCGCACCCTACTTCTTGTAGCCCCTACGCCCTTCATGGCTTGTGCTGGCTGGGCCTCCCTCCTGTACTTATCCCTCCCTGTTCATCCATCCCACCTCCACAGTGTCTTCAAGACCTCCTCAGAGGTTCCATTTTGAAAGAAAAAGGCCCCCAAAGGGAGTGGCACTATTAGGAGGTGTGGCCTTGTTGGAGGAAGTGTGTCACTGTGGGGGCGGGCTTTAAGGACTCATACGTGCTCAAGCCACGCCCAGTATCTCAGTTCACTTCCTGTTGCTCCAGCCCCACATCTGTCTGCACGCCACCATGTCCCACCATGACGATAATGGACTGAACCTCTGAAACAGTAAGACAGCACCTCAGTTAAATGCTTTCATTTGTAAGAGTTACCATGGTCATGGTGTCTCTTCACGGCAATAAAACCCTAAGACTAAGACATCCTTCTTCCAGGAAGCAGCACCCCCCCCCCCCCCGTCCTATGTGTGGAACACTGGGGTGGGTCTGTGGCTGTATGGGGACCTGACAGTGCCCAGCTCTCACTGCAGAGGGCTGGGGGCATACAGGGAAGGTGTCAGAACAGGCAAGGGACGTCGAGTTTAGAAGCCATCCCCGCTGACTTAGGGCTGGGCAGTGAGGGAGCCTGCTTGTTAACGCCACGCTTTAACCCTGTGGGCCGCAGAGCAGGGAGGGCAACTCAGAGGAATCCCTCTGTCCCGTTGGGTTCGGGAGGGTGGTGTGGTGTTTACAGCTGGTGCAGCTCTGCTCTCACGGACCCGCTGGATGTCAGCCCTAGGAACAGCCCGGGGACAGGTGGGCCGCTGGGCCTCTGCGCTAGGTGGGTTCAGCAGAACCTCGGGGCTTTGTGGACGGTCACACGCTTCAGCTCAGACCAGTTGACTAGAAAGTCACTATGGCTGTCCCCAAAGAAGGGGCCTGTTGTCAGTGCCCCCTGGGGCCACCCTGCAGCTTGTCCCTAAGAGGGTTTGACTCTGCCATCCCTAGGCCTGACTGCTCCCAAATCACCGAGCCCAGCCCACAGCCCATCTGATGACAGCTTTTGGCCTTGGTAGCTGCAGAATAAATCCATAACCTCTGTCGGGGATCACAGGACACATTGCCAGTTGTATGTTCCTGTCACCACCCTCTGGGTGACAGATTTGAGCCTTGACTATTGTATCCCTTTGCGACCTGTTTGGCATTGGGCAGATCACTTTCCCACTCACGGCACTCCATCCTGGGACAAGGGACAGTCCTCCCTAAATAAAGCCACGCCCAGTGGCCTCGGCCACACAGAAGTTCTATCCACGGAGACATGGCATTGTCTCCAGCAGCCTGGAGGCCACCTGGGCCTGGGCTCTTTCCCTCTGTGGGGTCGTCTCCAGAGCCGTTTCAGTCCCCGGGAGCTGCCGCCGTGCAGCCTCCTCGCTTCTCGTGGTGTTCATCTGCTGTTTGCAGGAGCTGTCCTAAGTGCTTTATGGAAGAGGCACAGTGCACATTTAACTAGAGCGGCCCTCCTCCTCACCTGACCTCCCCTCCGACTCAGTGGCCTCTAGTTCAGAAGTCTAGCCACAGCAAGTGGAAAACTCCATGCACGTAATTGCAGCGTGTTGTGGAACGTGCTCTGTCTTCTCATTGGGCATGCAATCCCTCACCGTGCCTGGCTTAGAAATGAAGCCTTGTTGTAGCTGTTGTTTGCACAGGAAAGAGCACCAGAGAGGCAGGGGTCCGGGCTATCTGTGGCTCCCAGCACCTCCCTCAGATAAAAGGAGTCACCACTGCACTTAACATGGTTTAATTGATCCCATCTTTAAACACAGCAAGAGTTGGCTTATCACTGCAAACATGTGCTTAGAGGAGGAGTGAGCAGGCGTGCAGTGTGTGGACCTGCTCTGGGCCCCAGCAGTGTGGACTGCCTTCCCAGCTGCTGCTTTGGCCGATAAATTGGTAACTTGGTGGTTTCCCGCTAGGCAGTAGGCCTGGAAGGTACCCATTACTCTGGTCCATCATAGGGGATGTCACTGGACGAGAGAGGTGACAGAGTGAGTGAGCGTCTGAGGTATCACAGCAGGCGGGCTGTCCTGCCCTCAGGGAGCCACTTACATCTGGGACGCCAGGTCTCATCTGGTGCTGGGTCAGTCCTCAGCAAGTGCAAGCCAGCACAGGTGACCATTTTAGCAGAGAATAAGAAAAACTAGAATGGAAGAGGCTTTGGTTGAGCAATGCAACTCAGCTTAGGGTGGTGTCTTAGTTAGGGTTTCCATTGCTGTGTGGTGTGAAGAGACACCATGACCACAGCAGCTCTTCATCAGGAAAACATGTAACTGGGGCTGGCTTACAAGTTCAGAGGTTTAGTCTGTTATCATCATGGCGTGCATGGCAGCATGCAGGCAGACATGGTGCTGGAGAAGGAGCCAAGAGTTCTACATCTGAATCTACAGGCAGCAGGAAGAGAGAGTGAGCCACTAGGCCTGGCTTGAGCTTCTGAAACCTTAAAGCCCTCCTCCAGTGACACACTTCCTCCAACAAGGCCACACCTACTCCAACAAGGCCACACCTACTCCAACAAGGCCATACCTCCTACTAGACCCACTCTTCTGGGTCTGTGGGGGCCATTTTCATTTAGACTACCACAAGTAGGGAAGAGATGAGAAGGGAAGCCACTCTCCTCACCCTTGGGTGTACTGCTTCCAGCTTACTTTCCCTGCTTGGGCACACTGCTGCCCGACTGTCTCCTCTCTCCCGGAGATGCTTACACAGACAGCCTTATGGCCATTTCCCATCGGCTCAGTCGTCACCTCTGTAAGTTCTGCTCAGAACACTTAAAATGGCAGGGTGCTCCTCCCCCTCTCCGGCCTCCTATCCTACCTTCTTTTGCCATAGCATGTTATTCCCATTCAGTGTGTGTGTGTGTGTGTGTGTGTGTGTGTGTGTGTGTGTGTGTCCCTGTCTCTCATACACACACAGACAGTATTTCTTGTGTGATGTGTTTCCCCAGGCTGAAATGGAAGCTCCCTCCCTGAGTCAGGGATTCCTCTTATTCTTGTCCATTTCTGGTACCACCCAAGTACCAAGGACAAGTATTTGTTATTAAATGAGAACTTGGCAGAGAATGGCATCAGAGATGGAGGGGTGACCATAGAGAAGGTCAGGCGGGATGGGTGGGCTGCATGACGGGTTAGGTGGGATGATAAAGAGGAGGCACATCACTGATGGTGCTGACCCTCCCAGGAGCCAAGGACGCTGGAGAGAAGTTATGGCCCTGGCTCCAGCGTTGCCTCTGAGCTTCCTCCAGATGCACAGAGGAATGTCTGCTGGGCAGGGCTGTCTGGTTTGGACTTGGGGCATTGGCATGCTGTTTTATTTGAGCATCTTTAGCATGTGAGCAGCAGATGAGACCAGAATGGGCTCAGGCTGAACCTGTGGCATGAGGAAAGCAGACAGTTGGTCATATCAAGTTACACAAGAAGACCCAGAAAAGTGCCCCGAAGAAAGTACACCGGGCTTATCTTTTTATAAGCTTGTTTTGTTGACATTGGAAACCATCCATTCCTTAGTAGGCTTACGTTTTTAGATGGGGTATGAATTCCTTCTGGTTCCCAGCCAGGTGAGCGTTTCAAATGATAATAGTAGCGTTGGTGTCTTGGCTTAGGTAACCATCCCCGCAGAACCCAGATCACAGCTGAAACAGGCTGTTTTCTCTTGTGTGTGGTTGACCACAGGATTCTGCCTTGAGCACTGTAGGACAAGTATACTTGAACGGTGCATATAAACGTGTATAAGAAAAGAGTAAGAACTTGAAGTAATATTTTTTATTGTCTCAGTTGTCAGCACGAAAGCAGATTCCCAAGGAGGCCACCGTCATATGAGTTATGCTGAGGAGAAATACATCCTCGGGTAGTCAGGGCAAGTCCAGGCATTGTAACGGAGAGACTCAAAGGTGCCTCGCCCTAAACATCTACCTCTTCCGTATGTGAAGGTAGACTCCCGACACCCAGCCCCATCTAGCCATTCCGGGGGAGGTTCCTTCTAGGTTGTTGCTTCTTCTACTCTCTAGAGATGTCTCCATAGCTAACCTGGGATGCTGCTGTATCTAATCAGCTGCCAGAGGAAAGAACCGAGCAGGAAGGTTCTGAAACCTAGGAGTGGATGCTGAACAAGTTTCCAAGAAGAAATAATAGGGGCTGGAGAGATGGCTCAGAGGTTATAAACACTGGCTGTTCTTCAGGAGGTCCTGAGTTCAATTCCCAGCAACCACATGATGGCTCACAGCCATCTATAATGAGATCTGGTGCCCTCTCCTGGTGTTCAGCCATACATGGAGGCAGAATGTTGTATACATAATAAATAAATAAATCTTTAAAAAAAGATAATAAAAAATAAAAAAGAAGAAATAATGGAATTTGATGTGTAACTATAGCCTCACCTCACACCAGCCTTTGTTTTTAATATTCCCATATTTTAATAACTGCTATGGTGACATAATATTTATTATTCTGGGTTAAGCAAGATGTGGGCATGGTATTTTCACAATACATCTAAGAAGGGAACATGTCACAGTTGAATTCATTCCCACATGTCTTTGGAGCATCTACCAGATAAACTCTGGGCTATAGGGATGGAGCTAGGGATGAGGCATGCAGGCCTGAGCAGTGGGATTCAGGTCAGGTCCCAGAGACTCAGCTACCTAGTCCTCCTACTATGGAAAAGATACAGCCATTAGTTATCTGTCCTGTAAATGTTTTTCTTCCATGAATCTTCATTTTTATTTTCTGTGAAAAAAGTTGTAACGAAGGGACTGGGGTGTGATTTGGTGGTAGAGCCAGCATGTGCGACATGTTTAGCATAGTCAAGGCTAGAGTGCAATTTCCAATGCTGCAACCTAGGGAAAAAAGGAAGTTGTAATGAATACCATTAGATAGCACAGCGTCATTAAACAGTCGGATGCCCCGGGAACTGGAACATCTCAGCAAACACATTCAGTAGTGAAATTCCATTTCTAAAATTGGCAGCCAAGTGTTTTCAGAGCCTCAGGAGTCACCAACCTGAAATAATGGCCCAGGACAGGAGACTTGAGCCGCGTTGATGGATAGCCGTTGTTGATGTGGATTCGTGTTGACAGCCGTGTTGTGGGTCTGGACATTTTATTTCCTAGTTTATAAACATTTATGTGCTCAGCCTCAGGCAGAATAAAATATGCTCTGTTTTACGAGAGACAATTCCCTGCAGCTCTCCCGGGGCTCTGTTAGACTCCACCGCATGTCCAGATTAGCAAACTCGAATTTTAAAACATTGTTTTTAAAAGATGGATTATTTTTTTCAGCTTTCTGCTTTTGAACGATGTAAATCCATCTTGGCATCCGTTTTTAAAATATTTCCAAAGTTAATTGGGCTTTCAGACAACGGGGGTTGACTGTGAGAACAGCTTATCTGCTGCCTTCATGCCAATTGGCATGCAGTTTTCTTGCCAGTGGCCCTGTCTGTCCATGTCTGTGCAGCTGGAAAATGTAGACACACTCGTAGGCCGTTTTACTATTCAGAGAAAAGGTGTGTGTATTCACAGGTCATTAAGTTATACAGCGAAAAGGTGTGCTACTGATAGGTCCTATCATTATCTAGGAAAATGGTCTATTAGTGATGGGATATATAAAGTGTGCTTGTCTTTACCATACATGAGAGAAGCAGACAGATACCCTCAGATCTCATCAGCTTTGCTAGGCATTTATTACCACCTCACATTCAGTGAGATATTTTACGTGCAAAATGCATAGTGATCTGTAAAGGGTTGTAGAGATAGGCATCGGTTATCTTGTTCAGTTAATGGTTTTCTAAGAGATTTTTCCAGAGGTTAGAAGAGGTAAAGATTAGGCACATCTCCCGGGAGGATATATAAAAGGGGGTGGAGATGGGAAAGAAGGAGTGTGTTATGTGCTGGGGGAAAGGAAGGTGGCCGGCTCTGTGTGGCCAGAGCACCATGGCAGAAGGAAGGGGGTCTCTGTGAGGGCGCCCAAAGCGAAGTGACCAGCTATGCACAGTCCTTCCCAGAAGGTGGTGACATGAAAAGGCTAAACTGAGGAAGGCCAGTAAGGGTCCCACAGCCATCCAGGCAAGGCCGTCTAAGGTCAGAACCCAGGGAGTGGCTGTGTGAGGATGGAGAAAAGATAAAGAAACAGTAGATGGGGAAGCTACAAGACTGGGCACGTGTCAGGGTAGGAAAGGAAGAAACCAGGGCAGCTTCTGGGTCATGTGACCCAGAACAATGGGATGTGGGGCATGCTGGTGGAGGGCAACGCCAAATCCCAGGGAGTTGTATTCAGCAGAGGTTGGGGACTCAAGCTGACCTCCATTGTGTCGATAGGTACCCATGGTGAAGTCAGAATGAAATTGTAACCTTTAGGGAAAAAAAGTCTTTTCCTTTATTTTTATTTATTTTGGGTATTCTGCGTGCGTGTATGCCTGTGAGCCATAGAGCCCAGAAGAGGTCATTGGATCCCCTGGGACCGGAGTCACAGATGATTGTGAGCTGCCACATGGGTGCTGGCAATCAAACCCAGATCCTCTGGAAGAGCAGCCACTACGCTTACCCACTGAACCATCTGTCTGGCCCTGAAACTGGAACTTTAAAGTTCCTGAGCCCCGGAACCTGTTCCTGTGGACAGCGGAGGCCATGACACACGCGGGTTATACATGTTGAAGCTTCGGAGTGTTCTAACCACTGCTTCTCGGTGTTGTCGTCCCTTTAGGAAACCCTATCACCCTAAACTGGAAGCTTTCGTTAGTCACATGTCAAAAGGATCCGGAGCCTCTTTTGAAAGCCCCTTAAATTCCCTGCCTCTTTACCCTAACCATCCTCTGTGTGAGATGGGAGAGCTCACGCAGACAGGTAAGTGCACCACCTGGTCACTGCCCCCCCCTGCCCCCCCGTTCGTTCGTGAACATTAGGAGAGGATAAGTAACGTGTGGTGGACACAGGGAGGACAGGCACATTACCAGTTAGCCGTGTAGGGGCCTGGCAACCCCCAGATGGATAAAAGTCGTGAGTAGGTGGGAAGCTTTTCCAGGGCTGGTAGTCCTGGGTCCTCAGTGCCCAGAGCCTATGGACTGGTGTGGCAAACACACCTGTTTTTATCCCAAAGCCTTAAAACCTAAGAACGTACTGCGGTGGGCTTAATCGCTCACGGTCCCAGCGGTTGGCGGGCACTGTAGTCCTCGGCTTCCAGCAGCAGTAGCAGCCGCCGCAAATAATGCCTTGCAGTGTTAGAACCCACAAACCACTTGGGGTGCTAGGACTCCCGCCCTACAGTGACAGTGTTACAGCCGTCATGCCTGGGGTGTCCGAAACCCTAGACCCTTAAGCTTTGGCGGCTCCCTGAAACTTCCCATCAGCCTCCGCCCACGGTTCCTAGCCCATGGCTCTTACAGTCTGCCTCTTTAGCCCTCCACCCTCTCTTACCTGCTCTCTGTTCCTCGGCTGTTATCCCTCAGCTGCCACCTCGGCCACTGCTGCTGCTCCTTCTGCACCAATAAAGTCCAAGTAGACGTGGGAAGACTGTTGAGAGGCATTTGCCTCAGCCTAATGATACAGCACAAAGGGGCCGCCCCAGCTGACTAGAAAATCAAGCTGAACAGCCAGCAAAGGGGTATGGCAATGCACTAATTCTAGCCCCACCCCCTCCCCAAACACACAAATGAGGACTATTTGCACCAGTCACAGGCCTTCTCCTGAGCCACCGGGAAAAGCCCCTCTCTCCTGAGAAAATGGCTGCGGGGTTGTCTTGCTTAGAATGCTGCCTTCCAAGGCTGGAGCAGACTGTCCTCAGGCTGTGTTTGTAGTGGTCCTCTGAAGCCGCTGGAGTGTCTTCAGGGCGACTGTGCAGTGTCCAAAGCAGCCAGGCTGCCATGAGGGCCATCTGGCCAGTCACGGGGAAGGGGGTGCTTGGCTGGAAGTTCCCTGCTCAAGGCTGCCAGGCACAGAGGAAGAGCCTATCAGACAGCCTGGTCCTGATTTGTAATCATTCACAGAGAGCATTAAAAGAATGTTTAGAACAAACTTAATAAAGACTTAACAAAAACTCAGCACAGAACTAGACAATTTTAACAGCATTTGATGCATTTAACATTGCACAATAATGCTGGAACTTCAGTGCCTGAGGGAGAGGTCGGTCCTCTGCTCTATCTCCTATGGGCTGACACCTCAAGGAACTCAGAGTCCCTAAGGCATCTAATGAAACATCTGCTTTCTTCAAATTAGAAATAACTTTGCAGGCTAGATGGCTGTCATGGTGAGTGGGTCCACTGCCAGGCCTGGTGGCTTGCGTTCAGTCCCTGGGTCCCCCATGGTGGAAGGAGGGGACCAGCTCCTGCAGGCTGTCTTCTGACCTCCATGCGCACACTGTGGCTGGTGCACGTGCGCACACATGTGCACACAAAATAAAAAAGAAAGTAAGCTTTCTTGCTACAGAAGCATCCATGTTCATGAGTATAAATTATAAAAGACTGTAAATCGGAAGAAAGTACCACAGTCCTGCCTAAGAAACAGACTAGGACTAGGGGCCAGGGAGGTGGCTCACAGGTTAAGAGCACTGACTGCCCTTGCAGGGGACCTAGGTTCAGTTTGGTTTCCAGAACCCACATGCAGGCTCACAACCATCTACCACTCCAGTTCCAGGGGATCCGACACCTTCTTCTGACTCCCTTTGACATCAGTCACACAAACGGTGCACATACATACATGCAGGCAAATACGAACATATAAAATAAGAATAATTTTTTTGAAAAAAAGTATTTAAAAAGAAGCAGACCCTGAATGCTAACCTCTCCTTCCGTGCACATGTGGTGGTATGTTAGTGAAGCCACGCTTCCCTGCCCATCATTGCATAGGACTGTATCGGGAGGTAGACAAGATAGCCCATCAGGTAAAAGTGCCTGCCCCGTCTGGGGATGGAACTCGCCAAACTGTTTGGACACCTGAACAAAAATGACAAAACTGGTCACACTGCCTGTGGGTCGCTCACGTCCTCAGAGGATTCCCACCCCCTGCTGAGATGGCGTTCCCTCAAGCTGGAGGGCGAGGCTGCTTTTTTTTTTCTTTTGAGTTTCCCTTTCCTGCTTACAGATAAAGCTTTCTCATTTCTTTAAAAAATTCGCTCATTGTTGTCCTCCAGTGGTCCAAAGCCAAGGCAGTATTAAAGGGAATGTAGGTCTTGCTTCTACCCACTTCCCACCCGTCTCCCTTCTGTGCCCTCCTTCTCTGGAAGCAATCCCCACTGGCTTCTCGAACGTTCATCCAAAGCTGCTTTATGCAAAATGCAAGCAACTGTGAATGCAAGTTCTTGCTTTTCCTTCTTTTTCATTTAAAAGGAGCACAATAAACATACTGTCTTCCTTTTGCTCCTTAAACTACTGTCTGGATATCTGAAATTGCAGAGAATGAGCTAGTTAGATGAGCCCGGAAAGTCCCTGCAGGGCCAGACAGAACGTGGCAGAGGTTAACAGAAGGCCTTTGGTTGGACATTATAATGGAAACAGCGTCAAGGAGGGAGTGTCTCAACAGTAAGTAGATGGTAAGCCTGAGAGGACTGCTGTGTCCCTGGGCAGTATGCATCCACCTGCCCTTGGGTACATGCAAATGACAGGCTGTGGATAGGGAGGCTTGTGACAAAGGCTGTCCTCCACACCCCACCCCTACACTAGCTGACACAAACCTGTTCTCATAACTTCTCCTTCCCTGGGGGGAAGCAGGCCTCATCCCCTTAACTTGCACTGCTCCCCAGCACACCAGAGATGGGTGCTGGTCCTTCTTGGCCCTTTGGCTAAGCTCGTAGTAAGAAGGATTCTGTGTCCCCCGGTGTTGTAGGAATCGTGCAGCATCTGCAGAATGGCCAGCTGCTGAGGGACATCTACCTGAGGAAACACAAGCTTCTGCCCAACGACTGGTCCTCAGAGCAGCTTTACCTAGAGACCACTGGGAAGAGCCGCACCCTCCAGAGCGGGCTAGCCTTGCTCTACGGCTTCCTCCCAGACTTTGACTGGAAGAAGGTTTATTTCAAGCACCAGCCAAGTGCCCTGTTCTGTTCTGGAAGCTGCTACTGCCCACTGAGAAACCAGTATCTGGAGAAGGAGCAGCGACGGCAGTACCTCCTACGTCTGAAGAACAGTGAGCTAGAGAGGACCTACGGGGAGATGGCCAAGATTGTGGACATCCCCACCAAGCAGCTCCGGGCGGCCAACCCCATTGACTCCATGCTCTGCCACTTCTGCCACAACGTCAGCTTCCCCTGCAGCAGAAGCGGCTGCCTCGGCATGGAGCACTTCAAGGTGATCAAGACGCACCAGATAGAGGATGAGCGCGAGAGGCATGAGAAGCCCCTGTACTTTGGGTATTCGCTACTCGGGGCACACCCCATCCTGAATCAGACGGTCAACCGGATGCAGCGTGCTGCTGCAGGCTGGAAGGACGAGCTGTTCACGCTCTATTCCGCTCACGACGTCACTCTGTCCCCAGTCCTCAGTGCCTTGGGGCTTTTGGAAGCCAGGTTCCCAAGGTTCGCCGCCAGGCTGATCTTTGAGCTCTGGCAAGACCGTCAAAAGCCCAGTGAACATTCTGTCCGGATTCTTTATAATGGGGCTGACGTCACCTTCCACACCTCCTTCTGCCACGACTTCCACAAGCATTCTCCCAAACCCATGTGTCCTCTTGAGAACTTGGTTCGCTTTGTCAAGAGGGATATGTTTGTAGCCCTGGATGGCAGTAGCACTAATTATTACGACGCGTGTCATGGGGAAGGGGCCTAAAAGGTGTTTAGCACAGCGCTGTTTTCTTGATGGTTCTGTCTGTTGCTAAATCATGGTGTGGAATTCTAATGGCTGCAGATTAAGTCGGGTGATCATGCCCGTGGTTTCGGACAAACAGGAAGCACACAACAGTTTGTTACTTGGTACAAAATAGCCAGTTCACAGAGAAAAAAAAAAAAGGTCCATTATTATAGCTGTGTGCAGCTTAGAATGCCAGCGTCAGATTCACTACTCAAAGTTGCCAATCCAAGCTTATGTATGTTTGGGCCTGCCACCGAACCAGCAAAGCTCTGCCAACATTGTCTTAATCCCGGAACATTAACCTTAACCTTGTTGAGTGGAGGTTTTCCCAAAGTGATGAGTTCAAAGCAGGGTTGGCAGCCTTTCTGTGAAGGGACCAGAGGGTCAGTGTGTTAGACTCTGCAGACCTAAAGGCCACACGGCGTCTCTGTCACATCTTCGCAGCTGTGCTCTGGTGACGTGGCGACACATAAACTGTGACTGTGTTCCACAGACCCAACTAAGTAGGTGGCAGCCCGCTCTGGCTCACGGGCTGTGTTTGCTGACCCCTGATCTTTAGAAACAGCCTGTTCCCGCTGCCCTTCCGGCACTTTGAGAGCCAGCTCAATGCCAAGTTCTTGAGCAGGTCCTTCGGTAGCTTCTGCAGGAAACACAGAGTGGAGTCTCTGTCTGGCGTGGTGACAGACTCACGGGGAAATAAACATCGGGTCATAAGGCTCCTAGGAAACGGTTACAATACTTGACACTCATGATCGTGGCACAAAATAGCTTTAAGTGTGTTCTAGATGTTTGTCTGCTGTGGGCTGTTGGCTTCATATGCTGGGATTTTTGTATTCCACTTCGTATTTTTATAGTCTAGGAAAATATTTTCTGAGACCAGTTTTAGATGTGTCCTTCTCCCTATGGAAATATCCGATTCGCTGCACCTGCT